AAATTTCTGTAGAGTTTCAACATATGCGATTTCCGGTATAGCGACGTTTGGGCGCGCGTGACATTTGGGCGTGAACGACATTTGGGCGCAACGATAGTTGAAGTTCAAAGACGCCGGTGTGGGTGAGTGTGAGTGTGAGTATCAATGAATTGAATATTTGAAGGTGAACAAAGATAAAGAATTGTTTGTTGAATAAAAAGAAACTATTCAAATGATATTGTTTGTTCACTTATGTTAGTGGAAAATGTTATTCATACTGAAATAGAATTTAAAGCATTTAGATGTATTTCTCGAAGATTACAAAAATATTCAAAAAAAAAATTTATCTAAAATCAAATCGGAAAGGCTTATAATAAAGATTTTTGATAAAGATGACAAAGTTTCATCTTTTTCTGTTCAAATAGTTTTATTAGAATAAAATACTTTTTGTTTTTCTATCACATTTAATTGAATATTCAATAAACATAAATAACATGTCTTATTCTTTATTTAATGCTATTGTTAAATTTCTCTTCCTCATCAATCATTAAGAAAGATAAATCTTTAGTTATTACTATTGCAATTAAAAAGTTATGTTTGAAAATAAATGGTAAAATACAAAGAAGATTTGAAAAATATTTTGTTATATAATAAGAAGTATCTTCTTAAATTTCGTTTTTATGATATTGAAATATATTTAATCTACAAAATTAAAAAATTTTTTCTATTAATATAAATATAATTGTTTTAATTAATCAAAATCAAATCTTTTCATGCCTATCCAAACAACACATTAAAATAATTATTTTTATTGTTCAATGTACTATGTATATATCTATGGTTGATAATTCATTGAATATAAAATATTATCTTAAATATAAATAAGTTCAACCGATACGTAACAGAATTGATAGAAGATTTATTAATATAATAGATTAACAATTAACTAAATAAGAGAGATAACATAATAACTTTGTTAAACTTATTTGTTCGAAATATAAAATATTTAATCATTTTTATATTTATTTTATTGTTTAATTTTCATCTATCCTTTACTTGCAATGTTTCATTCTAAATTTTATTATTTTTCTTTTTAAGAATTCTTTTGTTAAGTTATTTATTGAAAAACAGAACACTATTTCACTGAATATTCTTTATTACTATAAAATAAATCTCATAATTTCTATCAGAAATTCATAACAAACAAAATTCACATCTATTTTTCAATACATATCAAATGAAACACATTTCTCACGTATTAAACGGGAGAACAATAGATATTACTCTGTAGTATTGAAAAGAGTTTTGTTACTGTTTCGTCTGACATTATTTTTTATTCAGGCTCTTTTATTGAAATATATATTCATAAAGAAGATATATCATATATCATCTTGTCACATTCGATCCAAAGAAAAAACACAATTTAATTTTCTATTTTTCAATTTAAAGTGAACTATGTTAGTATTCATTGTATAAGAATAAAGTTAATGACTCGTTTTTACTAATTATTAAAATAAAAATATTCTTTGTAAAGCTTAAGTCTTAAAACATCTTTAACGGATGACAAATGTAAGATAATTTATCTGCTTGAATCATTATTCGGCGTTCTATTTTAATTCATAAATTCAAAATTTCATAACTTTCCGAGTAATTGACAGCAGCTGGAAAAACTCAGAGATATTTTAATATTGAAATTTAAACATCGTCACACATGAGTGAGATTTGATAAACTCAATAGATAATTAAATGCTATAACGTCAAATGATAGATATTTGATAAGGTCACAAGTTGATAACTTGTAACTATAACTCCAGAACAATTGTATAAAATTTGTTGAAGTTAGACATGTAAGAGTCGAAGCTATGATTAAGAGATCGTTGGATGAAGTTTGAGAACCTGACAGTTGTAGGATTTGATGATTCTGTTCACAGAGAGTTGAGTGAGGTTTGTGAAAATTAGAAATGCAAACCTTCAAGCTGCGGGATTAACTACAGGATTGGATTATTGTCTTATACGGAGATGAAGTAAACATCATAGAAATATTCAGAATTCTTTCCATCGAGTGTCAGTAGTCTATCAAGAACATCGACAACTTCTGAAAGTTTTAAAGGATAAGAATAGCATTAGCGATAAGAATATACGCATATTGAATTTGGCCTCACAGCTCCGCATAATAACCGACTCATTCTGCTAAAATATGTGACGACTGTGTCACTTCTTCTTCGGAAGTTTTAGAAAATTACCCACTCGAATGCTTGACGCAACGGAGAAAAATTGCTCGATTGAAGGTTTTAGCCCGTTTTCCCTTCATTTCTTTTGCAACAACACGGCATTCTCCTCGCAAATACTTATTTTAGATTGAAGTACCTAATATTTTCACATCGGTCATGAGTCATAGCTTCTTACTTCGGGCAATAAGAGACTGCAACAGCTTAGTACCCGATGTTGCGACATTTTCTTCTTTCAACGTATTTGTTTTAAAAATATAACAGTTCCTCTAAGAACTAGTCATTCGTAGAGCTGGCATCCTTGCGGAATCAGTTCCACTCCGGAATCATTTCCTGCGAATTATGAGAACTCAATCCCCACTCAAGTCACGGAATTCCAGGATTACAAGGAACTACCAGGAATTCCGAAATTATCTGAAGTGTCTACTGGTATACTGTCATGATGAGTGACATACGATTTATACTATATCGGAATTCCCGGAATCCCTTCAATACAGAATTCTTAGCAATTACTAGGAATCCCGGAATTGATGATCAACATCGTGGAATAGGATGTATTCTCAACCGTTGTCTTAAAAACATAACAGTTCCTCTAAGAACTAGTCATTTGTGGAACAGTCATCATGTTGAACATTGCGGAGTCAGTTTCACCTCGGAATGATTTCCTAAGAATTCCGGGAACTCAATCCTCACTCCGGTCAAGAATTCGGGGATTACAAGGAATTACCAGGAATTCCGGAATTACTTGAACTATCTATTGACATACTATCATGATGTATGGGACACAACTCGTTCTATCCCGAAATTCCTTCAATGCGGAATTCTTAGGAATTACTAGGAAAACTGATGTAAAATATAAACGATGCATCAGACAGAGCTTGCAGATCTCAAATTTTCTAGAGTATTGTTTGCTCTACGCTTCTAGTCAAAAGAACCTTCATCGTTAGGGACTACATACTGTCGAGGATTTGTATGAAAGTTCAGGAGATTTATTATTATAAAAAAAGGAAAACGTCTTAATGCATACTTTACTCTTCATCATCTCCACTAGACACATTACCACTTTAAAAGTGATTCATTGAACTCATTCTGATTCTGTCAATACTTGTCTTTTCTCTCTCTTCATGCTCTTGTATTGAAACTCTTTTGCTGTTCTTTAGTATACTTCTAGCATTTATATATTGAAAGAGAAAATTATTGCCGTTCGTGAAATCGAGACTGTTGAATTGCATTCGTATAGAAAACGGCAGATTCAGCAGAAATATTTAATACATACTTCCACCCGTGTGATAACAGGTCTTCTTCTGCTTTAGCAACTAAAGCAGAAGGAGAAATATTTAACATGAAACAAAGAACAGTCAGTGAATTTGAAAGTTTTTAACAATAAAAAAAGAAAACGTGAGCGAAAAGTGAATACGTGGAACTGTATCTTAAAACCGCTTTTTAGTTTTATTTGTATATTAATAATAACCTTCAAAAAAGATATAAATTAAAAGAGAAGAAAAAAAAGTGTTCTTTGAAAATATTGGTAAGTACATAAATTCATGAGGTAACAATGACTTCAGACTACAATATTAATTACTCACACTATTTTACTATATGTTAAGCGTAAGTTGCCTGGGGTAAATTTTTAAGAAAGCAATTGCGAGAACAACTTCTTCCATTTCTTTCATAGAAATAAAACCATCCTTTTGCTGGCAGAATCCCCAATGATAAGAGATGGTTTATTTCTTGCTCGGGATGTCTCTTACCAAAGAAGAATAAAACAGGATCAGTATCTTTTCCACTCACCTCTGACTCTTCGTCGACATAAACGCAACGTGATATAGAATATTTAAGGTTACCATGGTATGCCTACCTATACTAAGTTATGCCCTTTATATACTTCATATAAACATTCTTGAAACTTTTAGAAGATTCATGTGGCATACTATAGACTCGGAAAGTTGGAAGATTTCAAACGACGTTGGTCCTTATGATGATTTTTGGAGTTCCATCGGGAAATCTTACACAGTTTCAACAGGAATTCCCTAAGACATCCCATGCTAAGGGCGTTGACTATAGCCTGAAGGATTCAAATAATTTAGTTTGACTCTGAACGGCTTTCTTTCACCTTCAATTTAAAGCAAGCGTTGTCACGAGATACAGAATGATCGATAATCTATGTTTTAATTCATCTCCAAGATGTCTAAAACATGAATATTCTAAAAATATAGATAAGCATGTAAATCACTATGTGAAGGCATAACACGGTAACCTTGTCTTTGCTAGAAGCACCACCCGATAATGGTGCATCTAGAAAAGAGCTCAAGAGGCTCAAGGAGCTCAAGATGATATCCTTCCTATTTGCGGTCCAGAAAATCGAGTTCTACAACTAACTACTACTGTCCACTCTTCGCCGAAAAGCGCAGAACAGAACTGATGCCATCTAGTGGTGCTACGTGAAGCTTTGGCGTGAGATAACGTCTGAACTCGTTGACTTGAGTTTGGTTCACACCTACTTTGGCTCATTACACACGACCCAGCTTGTTCGACTCATAGAAAATCTTTAATTCCTCATTTTTCCTTGCACACGACCCGAAAAAGCTCGAACAGACAGCTAAATGAAACCGTCAGTTGCTGTGTGCCCAGTGAATTATCTGGACCACCGGATTTCCCCACTTTTATGTTCTTATAATCTTTCCCTTCTCATTGATATCAAGCTATAGCTACTTTCTATTGAAAAGACGGCCGGAAAGGTTGAGAAGATCGTGTGCCCTCCGGCAACCGTATTTTTTTTGTGAAATCTTTCATATGACCCCAAAGCATCTTCGTATGTGTCTCTCTCATTTATTTCAGAGAAAACAGGAAAAATTTGTCTTTATTTAAGGGGAAAGAGGAGATACACAATCCTCTTACCGGCGCCCAATGGCCAGCGGACGATATTGTTCGAGCAGAATTAGCACTGTAGAAACTATGCGAAGAATCGAAATAGATTCATGTTGATCTCTGCAACGTATTGGAGCTATAACTGCCGGCAACACACGTGCCCATCGTGGCGCTCGGCTGTCAACATATCCTGCGGGGATTTTCAGAATCAAATGCATACAGTAAAATTTTAAAATTATCTCAATAGATTTCATGTCCGGTTTTTCACGAAATGGCGATTGCCTGCGAACTTCGGGGCAAACGTTGAGTAGCTTTAATGTTGTGCAGATGTCTATTAATGAATCTGGATCAATAATACTGATTGACTTAAATCTTTTTTATACTGAGCGTATCATAGATCCTGAGTAAATTACACCCGATTTCCTATTTTTGTCTGTACTGGTGGCTGTTTTGTAACATTTCGTTTTCTGGCTTTACCAACCGATGACGTTATTTTTGGTGCATTTAGATAATTCCGCTTTTTTAATATCATTCAAATGTTCTTGACAGCGTCTTTGAAAATGATGAAACGTCTCAATATATGAATCTGAAGAAGAATTTCATGTGGCACCATAAACAACCACAGATTGTAAATTATCTGGAATCTGGTCTTTAGTCTTAAATTCTCATCCAATTTTGTTTTCAATTGTGTAGACAATTCTGGGTCCTATTTGTGGAAAATACTGTCTTGTCAAATGCTGTACCCATTTACGATAGGTGTAGCTATTTTTATCTTGAAATGGCACTTTTAGAAATACATATTCCTTTTGTGGCTTGGTGTCCCTTTTGGTTTCCGGCTTTTCTTTCTTTTCTATGAAATATATCAATTGTTTGTTGTATTTTTATCAAACTATAAACGAATGAAACTGGATAATCATCGTTGTCGATCGGCATTTCGTGAAAAAAGAACATGAAATTAGTAGGGATAATTTTAAAATTTTATTGAAGGAAAAACACAAATATAAACTCTTAATTAAGGAATCGGTAGTAATTAGAGCTACAAAACCTGTCCTAAATGTTACCGATTGATCTGTCCCAGTATATGTACATCCGAATGGTGTAAAGAAATCCACTTTACCCTTCAGTATTACAGAGCCGCCACTTTCCGGATAAGAGGAATGAAAGAAAGAAAATAAAGGCAGTCAGAAAATATATAAATATTTTCGTAATGCTTCTTGTGTTCTCCATTCTTCAGTGTACAACTTTCTATCCCATCTTTATTAAATTCAGTCGATTGACTTATCTAATGAAAATAACATTAAAACGGTATGAACAGTTATAATTCAGTTTTTCTCCTGTCTCTTAGATAAAAATTCTTACATCTTTCACAGTTTATTTTTTACTTTCTACCAGTTAGGATTGAAATATAGTGAATAAAATAAGAAATGATCACATTTTACTCAGCACCTATACTTCAAAAAATTTGTTTGAAAAGTTTGCCCATTAGTTCCTCTGATATTAATTTCAAGAAATTTTGGAAAAAATAATGTCCACTTTACTTATTTCCATTGAGCTCACAGTTACAGAAAGAACAAGTTGACCTAAAAAAGTGATTTTGACAACTTAAAGTTTTCTAATATAGTTCGATTATCTGCAGCTCACATTTGAGACATTTGTGACTCATATTGATTCAATATAGAAAATCAACGTTAAATGTTTATCTGAACAGATAAATTACTTCAAATATTTGATATAAAAATGTAATGCACTTATACTTTTTTCTTACCAAACAGATACAGTTAATCTAATTCAAATAGTAACTTAACCTCGTTCTTTTGTCCTCATTATACATATGGAAAATATTTGATTTCTAATATTACCTGGTAATGTAAGCATCTTTTAAAATTTGAATGGTTACCTACAAGATTAGCACGACGTCATATGATATCTTGTTTTTATTGACACGAAACGTCATATCTTCGTTTCACTCTTCTTCTTTGATCATATATAGACATAGAGTGAAAGATAAAATTCTATTTTAACAGTTTTAATATTAGATTTCTGTTATTGATGTTGTGTCGAATGATCTGTATCGAAAAGTAAAAAAACACATACACAGATACCAATGAGTCAAATGAGAATAGCTACGAATTTATTAACTAATCATAACTACTGTTCGAAATCAAACACTGTTGTTATGAACTGAGTCATTTTAGTGAGTCGTTCTGTATCTCTTTCTGTAAATGTTAGCAATTGCACTTTTTCTGGCAATGAAATCTTTTATCTCTAAGGAGATTATAGTAAACCTCTATTTATACATATATTTATATATATATATAGGCTTTTTAATCGGTTTAGCCTTCAATAACATCAACTTTTTAAAAAAATAAAAAACTTCAGTGATAATGTATGACAAAGACGAGGTGATAATAATAACGTTAATCAAAGTCATCGTGACACATTTTCTTTCTATAATTTGTTTCTTTAACACTAAATATAACAAAAAACATGTACAGCAGATCTATTTAGATATTGCTAACAATTATTCTTCTCTGTGCAGTAATTATTTCAAAGTCAACATGTTTGTCAAGTATTTTGTGTCCAATGGAAAAATATCAATATTCAACAGAATTACTAGCGAATATAGCTGATCTTTATTGGACAGTTGATGAGAATAATAGTGAAATTATATTTGAATTACATGTTAAAACAACGGGATGGATTGCACTCGGAATTAGTCCTGCTGGTGGTATGACAGGTGCTGATATTGGTATTGGATGGATTTCAAATGGTACTGTTTACTTTCAAGTAAATTCATTTGATTGATAATCTTATTTATAGCTTGAAAGTTTAATAAAGTATCATACGAATAGGATCGTTATGCTTATGGTTTATCAATGCCAGTTATTGATAATACAACAAAAGATTGGTTTCCTTTAAATGGTAAGGAAGAGAATGGTTGGACAGCAATTCAATTTAAGAGAAAATTGGATACATGTGATATAATGGATGTAACAATAAAAGTAATGCTCCATAGTATAGAAACAATAAATATGCGTTAATATTGTTAATATTTTTAACGATTTATTTTTATTTCTAGTCTGGAACCAATATTTTAATATTTTCTTATGGTCTAACGGATCCTGGTCCAAATGCACAAATAGAATATCATACACCATTAAGACGTGGAACAAAACTGATACCATTATTATCCTATGCAAACCCACCAAAAGAATCGAAATTTGAAGGTTTAGATACATTTGAATTTCGTTTGAATAATGTAAGTATATATGCATTAATAATATCAGATGCATCATTATTAAATATGATTCTTTTTCTTTGTTTTTTTGTTTGTAGTACATTGTACCCAGTAATGACACGACATATCATTGTAAAATCTATAAAATACCAACATATACACAAAAGCGTCATGTTATTGCTGTGAGTATCATCATCTACTTCATTGAATTGGTAATTATGAATAATATAATTTTTTCTTAATATATATATGTGTGTGTAGCATAAGACGTTGATTGCTGATGAAAATCGTGATTTAGTTCATCATTTATTGATGTATGAATGTGATCCAGAAGCAGAATTTGATGATCAAAATTTACCTGACGGAGTTTGTGACGATATACCTGAAAAAGCTCGAGTTTATTGTGAAGCCAACATTGCTATGGGATGGGCTGTTGGAGGAGATGATGTAAGTTCAAAATAAATTCTACTTTTGTCTTATACATCATCTATCTCTAAGATATGATTAGATGGTTGAATTTGTTCCTGAAGCTGGATATCCTGTTGGAGGCGAATTTCGTGTTAAATATTATTTAATACAAATGCATTATGATAATCCAAAATCATTGCCGAGTATGTTCGTATATTTTTTTTGTAACATAATGGTTCTCTGCTTTTTGTTCTTTTCATTGGAGATGTGTGGACAAAGTGTCTAAAGACGAATTGATGAATCGCAATTTTCAAGCGTAAAAGTGATGCAGCAATTCGCATTTTACGATTATTTTGCGAATTCGCAGCGAAGTGATCGAGAATTCGTAAAACTCGTTCACGAATTCTTTCAGTACGTTTCATACTCCGAGTCACATGAACATATCTCTAGGAATTTTTGGATCAATTCTATGATAGTTTTCTAAATTCATACATTTTTCTGACCTGAGGACACGAAAGAATTGTATCTTCGCATCGACTCGCATAGTTCTCATCACAATTCGCGTTACTTTTACGAATTCGTAAAATACGAATTGATGCCAAAGACAAGACACATTCTCTAAGGTTAAGAAAACTAAAAATCGCCTATTTGCAACGATTCGCATAGTTCTCACCTGAATTCGCCGTTACCTTTACAAATTCGTAAAATACGACAACTACAACATGATATCCCACTTCACATCTAATGATATGATTGTAATTTCTGCGCATCAATTCACAACGAATTCGTAAAACTGGATTACGAATTCGTTCTGTATCTAGAAAAAATATT